TGTGTGTGTGTGTGTGTGTGTCTATGTTTTGAGAGGATTACACAGCAGCTTTAGGCATCATGTGTTTTACCAAAGATGAGTTATAAATGGAGCCATGATGCTGTTGCACTCGGTTCTAGCGTTCCATTTTCTCCTGTTCTGCTCTTTGTAGTTAAATTCTAATGAAAAATACAATTATCCTCCTGGTTCTACTGCGTTCTGTCAGATGAGTGCTGTGCCAGCAGTGTTATATAAGACAATATTCTAAACTTGGGCAAAGCACCAAAATCGTGACAGATAAGCGTGCATACAGAAGCCAAGCTGAGCCAGAGCCTCGCGCATACACCGCGTTCACAGGCTACACGGTGTGCATCCACACAGCTGCAAACCCACGAGGAAGACGCTGTTCGGCTTTATTATTCAATGTTGTTGATTGGTTTATTTACCTACCAACAGCTTCCAGCACAGCAGCCAAAACGAGATCATCTCCAGTCGGCCGCGGCGCGCGCATTCCTCTCCACCGCTCCCCAACGGCAGCGCGAGCAGCCAGGCGGCCACTCTCTGGCGCGAGGAGGGACGCATACAAGCTGGCGGCTGCCGCGAGCGTACGTGTATGTGGTGGAGAGAGATAGAGAGAACGAGAGCAGCGGGGGAGAGAGAGGCAGGCTGTATCGACCTGAGCTAGTGTGTGAATTAGAGCAGAAGAGATCGATTTTTATTGGCAGACTCTTGCACATCTCTCTCTCTTTTTACTGTACGCCTGGTTCCGACCCCCCCTCCCCATCTGCGCCCGCTGCATCCGCCGTTCACGCCCCCCAGGCTTCAACACTGTAAAAGATAGCTATCTTAGCAAGTAGGCTAGGCCTGTGGGGGATGTACAGTTAATATCTACTGTTAGCATCACGAACATAATCTTTGTTTGTATATGTTAACTGTTATGTGAATTGCTTTAGACTGCGAATTCATAATTTACTGTTTTTAATGGATTTTATCTAATTACTTAATTTATTTAATTTTATGTAGGTAATTACATTATAACTATAAATACTGCCACATATTATATTCAGGTCTGTGACGTCATTAAACACTTTCCTTATGCCTTTGAGGACAGGTAGTTTCAGGTCATGCAAAAACAACTTTAATTTGCACATTTATGGTCATTAGAGTTAGAAAGCAAGATAAACTAGGCTACTCTCTGTCATGGTCCCTGGGTCTATGTGTTAACAGACCTCTCTGCATTGAATCATATCTCTTATTAACCTCTGTCTCTCTTCCACAGCATGTCTTTGTCCTGTCTTCCTTCTCTCTCCCCAACCAATCACAGCAGATGGCCCCGCCCCTCCCTGAGCCTGGTTCTGTCTGAGGTTTCTTCCTGTTAAAAGGCAGTTTTTCCTTCCCACTGTCGCCAAAGTGCTGCTCATAGGGGGTCATATGATTGTTGGGCTTTTCTCTGTATGTATTATTGTAGGGTCAACCTTACAATATAAAGCACCTTGAGGCGACTGTTGTTGTGATTTGGTGCTGTATAAATAAAAGTGAATTGAATTGAATTAAATTGGGTCTTGGACCCAGACTCTTGCAGAGTGTGCAAGAGTGCAGAGTTTCCTGTTTGTTTGATTTTTCCATATTTATTTACATTTTCAGTTTTTGGTTTCTCATCTGGTTCTGTTCGGTTGGTTGTATTTTATTCCCTGAGTCCCTGTGTATTGCTTCCCTTGTTTTTCCATCTCTGTTTTCCTTTTGTGTGAAGTCATTCATTATTTACCTTGTTCTGCCGTCTCTCACATTTTACTTTGGTAAGCATTTCTCTCTGTGTCATGTGCTGACTTGTACTTCCTCATTTCATGTGGTCTGGTGTCTGCAGCTGTTTCCCAACTGTTCCCCCTCCCATCATTATCTTATGCATACATTTTCTCAATTTCCATTTGTCCTTTGTTGAGTTGTCCCACATAGCTGTGCTCTCCCTAGTTTCCCCAGGAATTGCTTTCTTCAGTTATTCCTTAAGGCCTTTGGATATTTTCTCTTTTTGGACTGTGAGTTACTTTTGTCAGTTTGGCAGTAAGCACCTCTGTATACTGCATTATGCTTTTGGGTGGGTAAGCCGCCACCACACTTCACACAGCTAAATCTGACACTCCCATTGGCTCCATGTTGTTAATCACAAGGTGTTAGCCAGTAAGCATGGGTTACAACCAGATCCTCTCCTCATTTGTCACATCCAGTTCCAAACACCAAAATGGTGCTGGCATAAACGCTCAGCGCTAGGCTTCATATCAGGACACCTTTGGGTGAGGGCACACTGGCTATGGCCGTCTTTTATTTACTGGTTTTGTGATAGAGGTTGATAAATGTTTAATAAGTAGTTTAAAATGTTGTTAGATAATGTTTGAATAAATTAACGTAATACTGTAACTTTTTTTGATATGATGTCACAACATCGCATTTGCTTCTTCTCATGTTTTATTTTATTGTCTTTCTCTTGTTCATTAAATAACTTGTAAATTACTTTGGTCAACTTTGTTGCTTTTAATTGTGCTATAGAAACATATTGTGACACTAACAATTATAGTAAAATAATAAAATAAAGGAAAAAAACAAATTGAAATAGATGTTGCAGTTTTCTGTCCCAATGTTGCAATTCCATCAGAAGTAATGGCTAAAATAAAATCCCACAGCAGGAACATTTTTAACACTCTTATATCGTCTGTGTTTGTTAGAGAGCAAGTTCGTGAACGAGGTGAGCTAAGTTCAATTCAATTAAATTTTCCACAGAAGAGGTGCCTGAAAGCAAAGGCTCTGCCTCACATACTACTTTTAAATATCATAGGAACGATAGGGAAGAGAGCATTCTCAGACTGAAGTTCTCTGTTGGGGTGATATGGTACTATGGTGCATACCTCATCCCCAGCTCCTGTCAGGATTGGCCTGGTAAACGCCAGATCGCTGGTGAACAAATCTTTTATTCTGAATGAGTCATTCACCTCCTGGAACCTGGACTTCATGTGTGTCACAGAGACTTGGCTTAGCTCTGGTGAGTCCAGTATTTTATCAAAACTTTTACCAGCGGATTGTTCCTATTTTAACACACCAAGGACATCAGGGAGAGGAGGAGGTAAACAGTGTTTTTTACAGCCCTCGTCTTCCAGCTTTGAGCTCACGTGTTTTGAAGTTAATCGCTCTAACTCTGTGCTCTTTCCTGTTATTTATCGTCCCCCTAAATACAATAAGAATTTCATAAATGACTTTTCAGAATTTATAGCTGGGATTATGCCCAACTATGATCATGTTCTTATTGTGGGAGATTTTAATATCCATGTCTGCTGTACTGACAAACCTCTGGTGAAGGAGTTTTTAAGCCTCATTGACTCTTTTAATCTGGTCCAGCCCGTACCTGGTCCCACACATGAACACGGACACACACTAGACCTGGTCTTGTCACACAGTCTACCTGTGTCTAACGTGGAAGTGACTGACACTGCTTTCTCTGACCATATGGCTATATTATTTGATGATGTGTTTTCGCGCACTACAGTTCAAACCAGCGCTCCTGTTCGCCGCTGTCAGATTAGTAACCCTTCCACTGCTGCCCAGTT